CTGCAAGTGGCAGATTTCAAGAAGTTTTACCTCATGCGAGGTCTACCTTTATCGCCAAAAGGGCGAGAAATGAGTTGTTACCGATTTTGGTATTATGTTTTTCAATTACTCGCGCGCGTAAAACTAAAGTTGATGTATAATAGCGTTGTGTAAAGACTTAAATATTGTAAAAAGTTATTGTATAAATTTTATTTAAAACATTCTAGCAAGAAAGAAGTTTTAGTCTGAAAGACTTTTTGAAATGTAGTATTTCATTTCAATGTAGAAAGAATTGGCACTTGCTTTGAAAAGAATAGAAGTTAACAATGTACTACTAATGTATGTTTTCAAATGTGTAAAATTAACGGCATGTTGATATGTTCTTATATATACAATGTGAACTGTTATTTTAAATGTTAAGAAATACCGTGATATGGTAAAAGTGAAAGTAATGTTAAAAATTTTTTTTATTCGTGTGACTGTAAAAAGACTAAATCATGGCGAATATGTGTTAAAGGTTGAATGATGTAGTTAGGCTCTCTGACGCTACACTTTAGAGTTAGCCACTTTCAGAATAGTACCTCAGGGTTTAGAGTTGAAATTAGGGTGTGTTAAGAGGTCTTGTTATGTTGAATTTTAACACGTTAGTGTTTTGATTGTAGGAGGAAGTGTGGAACACGTAGACAGAAACACATTCGTGTTTGGTGTTCTTTTACAACACATGTCAGAGAGCACGGGGAGAGATAATTAAAAATAGACATGAATAGAATGAAATAAGAATGTTAAGAGAAGTATAATTCTATATGTTACTTGCCATTTCATTGTGTAACATTTCATTAAACTAGTTTTCCTTCCAGATCTCTGGAAGGAACCAGAATTGAATAAAAGCTCCTGTTTAGATGCAGTACAGATGAAAAAAAATTGTTGTATATCCTGGGAGCTGCTATTGTAAAAACAAATTTTTTCTTTCTTTTAAATTTCTAGTTTCTAGCGAAGTTAATGTTTGTAAAAGATTGGCCTCGCGTTAGATTCTAGAGCTAAAAGTTTTCAACAAGGTCGTTTTAGACCTCAGTTTCAAACTAATTAACTCTGGCGGGAAGTATGTAAGGATCTTAAGTTTTACTAACGTTTATTTTATTTTAAATCTTTACTATCACTTTCTTATTTTCTACTTCCGGCCAGAATTATAAGCGTTAAGGTTTTATGCAAAGTTTGTCTGGCGAACGCCAAGTATTTAAGTTGTGGCCTTTTTGCCAAGCGAGAGAGAGGAAGCAGTTGAGTCGAAGCAGGCCGCTTACCTTAGAAGTTACGCAGTTGCTGGTTTGCCTTCCAGGCCAGAGGTTTTAATCCTCTTGATAAATTTAAAAACGTATTGTAGTGTTCACAGTTCTCTGTACTACATACGCTTCCTGTTAATTATAAGGCCAATCTTCCACGTTTATTATTCTAAAGTTAAATTAGAGTTTAGTTTTATTTTTATACTTTTACGTTAGACCCCGAGTAGCGGGTCATTGTATTCCGAAGTACGGAAGTTATTGTATATAGAGAAAAATAAAGGGTTTTGTATACCCTTCGTCTGTATCCTGTCTACTTACCCACAATTAGTGAACATAGCTTTAGTAAGCTCTCTGTTCCGAGTCAGGTCCTTGTATGTTCCCGAAGAAGGTAGAAGGAACATTGACCGTTATTTGTAATTCAGATCCTTTTCGATTGAAAACTAAAAAGTTTAATAATCCTCACATTAGACCAATGTGAGTTATAAATTTTTTTTTGATATCAGATGGGAACGTAATGTATCTGAATGTAATCACATGTGATGCGTTGTTGCAAATCTTTTCACGCACTGGAATCCCTCAGATTGTTGCTTCTGATGAAGGAACTAATTTTACTGCTTCGTTGACTCAAGAGTTTTTGAAAAGGATCGGATCGTTGCCAAGGTTCTCAACTCCTTACCATACATTCAAATGGACTTATAGAATGATTTAATGCTGTTTTAAAGTGAATGATACATAATACCTTCAGAGAATATTCAAAAGATTGGTAGAAACTGTACCAGATACCTGGAGTTCTAAGAAGTGAAGTTGATCGAAAAAAAGATAAGCTTATTACAGCTAGGGCTAATCGTTGAATCAGAAAGTGAATATGTCCATCCAGTAGTTTGTGTGTCAACAAAATGGAACAGTAACATTATGTGTACACCAAAAGACTATGCTGAGTTTTATATTAATGACGTAACTTAATGGCATGGTTATATTTTCCAGTGAGTGAAGCATGACCGAAAGTCGACACTTGGGAAGCATTATGAACTATGAAACATTTTGACTATTTAGTTTGAATATTTTTTTAGACGTAAAATGCTAAACTTTTGTATCTTTTTTCTAACGTTATGTAATATGTTTAATTATTTAGCCAGGAATTGTATAATGTTTAATTTTAATAATTGATTTGTATTGTTTTTTTATATGATAATGATGATGTGAAAGACAGGTTTAAGGTTAAAGATTTAAGTTTGAAAAGTTAATTGAATGTTAGTTTTTTCCCTGTGTCAAGAAATGTTTATATGTAGATTTGACAGGTCATTGAAAGACGCAATCAAATGTTTTAGAGGGAAGGTGTGATGACCACGCATGCGCAGTTTAGACGAACGGCGTGCAACGCCTCTCTCTGACTTATTTTAGAAGAGAAGAGACTGAGTAACGAAAGACACGGTCTATGCATGCGTAATGATAAATGTAGTTCTATTTTTGTGTTAACTGTTTGCTTTGTTCGTGTTAATAAAGTGTTTGTGCTATTAAATGTTTGCTATAAGAAATGCCCACATTACGTTCACATCTACATTAAGTAGTAAATATATATCTAGTTTGATTTGGTTTATTAGATTACGGCAAAGCACTCGAGGGCTATCTGCCTTAAGGGAGGGATGCCTTCGTGGAGGACTTTTTAAGGGAAACTGGCTCGTATACACGATACACATGGGGAAAACCACGAAAACACCCATGCAGCCAGCCCGTTCGCGGGATTCCGTACCTCGGACCGAACTACCAGTGTTCAGCGACTTTACCGCTCGGCCGCTGGTGGGCAAATATATATCTAGAACCCATGCCAAGAAGTATGCATGACAGTGGCCTTCAGCTCCGAATACGCTGTAAATCTACCTCCAAACCTTCCTTTAACCAGTTTACTGTTGTGCAATCCTCAAATATTTTCTACCTTTTTTCTCCTCCAAAGATAAATTTTTGTGCCCGAAATTGGCTTCTCTCTTGAGTCAAAGTATTTCTTTTCCTTTTTCAGCAGTTGCGAAGACCTATTTAAAGGTTGTATTCAGATCAACTTGACAGCGTACTTGTCCAACACCTCCTAACTGAAAAAAGCCAGAACACTGAAGCGAGAGGAAGCTCTGACGTCTGACTCATCTCGCTCCTTCCAACAATCTCAAAGCCCCGTAGGTTAGCGACGCACATGACACCACTATTTGCGTGAGCCTTAAACGTGTGATTTTATAATTTTATAGGATGCCTCATAAATGTGATGTAAGAATTTTAAATATGGCCCGTTGCTTTTCACCTGAGCCTGAACTAAAACTTAAATAAGAAGTCTAGGAAGGAAAGATGGCTTTCAGCTTACCTAACATACCGAAGTAAGTTCGATTTTGTTCCATTTTTTATGTTTTGTGTCTGTATCAACTTTTTATTATTTTTATTGTTAAGTCTGTGATGTATGTTTTCGCTATTAGATTTTGATCTGTTGACAAAAAGTTTATGGTTAAATGATTTTAATCTCGCCTGTTTTAATTATTTCTGAGAAATATTTTTCTTCAAAGTAAAAAATTTTAATCATGAAAATTGTAATATTAACTTTCTCTAATTCTTCATTTGAATAAAGATAAATATGAATGAAATAAAGTTACATAAAACAGGAAGAATTATAAATTTAATAGTTATATAAAAGCCAATAACTTGTAAATATTTTCTACTATATTGTGTGAGCAGGTTTTGCAATTATTCCAGATTCATCATAATTTATATGCCAAGTAACTAACGAATGATCATAATAGGTTTCATTTTAAAATTTTCATAATGATGCATATAAGTTTGGTATCAATGTAATTAAGGTGACTGCTTATATTCGATACTCAGTATTTGTTATAAACAATTATCTCAATTGCATAAGTTTCTTTAAATGTAAATAAAGCTGTGATCATCATGATGAGCATTCTAGACACTACAGATTACTTAAGAAAATTATGTGTGTAACTGAAATCATATTGCTGGCTTTTCAATTGGTATTTATTTATCAAAGTACTCATTTAAATCATACGGCTCCTTGGCTTCTGTTACTAAATATTAACATACATATAACTATTGTAATCACAACCAGTTAATTTTAAAATATTTTGTTTTATAGCTGTGTAATTTGCATTTTTGAATGGATGAAGAAGCACAAGAATTATAAATGTATGATGAGGAATCAGCAAAACCGATTAAAATACCAATTTTTCGGCCATGTTTCAAAAAAGGATGTGTTATCTCTCAATTTTCCTGATGGCGCATTTTACACGTCATTAAAATCTGTATATAGAATGTCATCTGAAAAGGTGAAAGCTCGTTTAGCACAGAAAGCAACAGAAAAAAATATAAACAATAGAAAATTATGATAATGAACGATCAGTTACCTAGAACATCAAATTTATTAACATTGTATACGACTCTGCATACTGAAAATTCAACTATGTTAAATGATATTTCAAATGACACAGCTCCAGAGTGGGAATTAATCATTCTGTTCATATGGACATTTACTGATTGTTCATATTCAGACATTTTAAAACTTTTTTTCCCAATGGCAGATTATGAACAGTTACAGCAAAAAAAAACAAGAACAAGGAACATATAATACACCAATACAATGAAAGAACAGCTATAACAGAGTTCATTAATCTAACATATCTCTTGCCTCCCAGTAACGCTCGGCGAGAAAAGTCTTGCGCGGAGCAGGACAGTGGGGTAGATGTGCGGCATCCATCACCTCTCCAGAGCTGCACAGAGTGCATATCGGAGAAGGAACAATTTTGAATCTATGAAGATGATATTGTAGGCAGCCATGTCCGGTGGCAAGGCGGAATTTAGCGACCGCTCTACGCCTTGGCCGATTACAAAAATTCGGGATAGCATTCTTCCAAGAATTATGAGAAACACGATGATAGAGATCTTCCTGAGCACGTATTTTGAAATATCTTTTAATAAGATCCCTAACAGTATGGAAAGGCAAAGGACGAGAAAGTCGGCTTTCTCGTTACCTGGAATCCCACAGTGGGCAGGAACCCACTGGAGGACAATAGTTTTTTCAAGTGAAGCCAGGTTTTGTAGATAAAGTCGGCAATCCAAGATATACTGTGATATGGGATTTTTATCTGAAACGATAGCCAACAGAGCAGCTCGGGAATTACAGAGTATAACAGCTCTTATGAAGTTTTCCAAGTGGCATGGTAGCTGGTACACAGCTGTACGAATCACAGCAATTTCACAGTCAAACGCAGAATCTCGGCCCACAGGGATGTAGAAAGAGAAAATTTCGGAGGAAAATCCGGCACCTGCATTAGGGCCATCAGACAGGAGGGATCCATCAGTAAAGATCCGAAGCCACTCTGTCTCAGGGTAAAAAATATTTAATATTTCGAAAGCGAGGGCTCTCAAAATAGAGGGATCCGCATTACGTTTCGTTACTTTTTGACCCAGGTCAAGATTAATCCAGAAAGATTTCGAATTTATTGGATTTTCTAGTGGAACAAGTAATTCTGGTTCATTCATTAAACCAAGTGAATTTTTTAATTGAAAAACTCTCTGTAGAAAGCCCATCTGGGTCTTTAGATTTCTAGTCAGATCTTGATTGACTTCATTCCAGAGTGAAAGACATCCAGGAACTCTAATGATCTTTTCCCAGAGAATTAAGGCCCTCTCTTGAATTACGGTTCTTAAGGGTTTATCACCAGTTAACATAAACATGGCGTCAATCGGGGTGGTCTTCACGGCTCCAGAAACAATTCGTAAGCACTGATTTTGGATTTTATCTAGAGTACAGAGTACATTTTCTACGGCCGTGACAAGTGGTTCATAGCAATAAGTCAGAAAGGGGAGGATAAACGAATGATAAGTTTGAAGCAGGGTTTGTCTAGTGCAACCCTACCTTGCCCCAGCAAGGCGTTTAAGGACACTGAGTCTCTTCGAAGCACGGTTGTACAAGTCCTCAACATGTGGCTTCCATGTTAATTTGCCGTCAAACGTCACACCCAAATATTTAAATTTATCGCACAATGGGATTTGAGTACCCTTATACGTCAGCTGGAGATCCAAAGATTGGTGCATGAGTGAGAAAGTTAGGCAGTATGATTTATTTAAGTTCACCTCCATATTATTAGTATCACACCAAATTTCCAAAGCATTCAAGACAGCAGAGAGTTTAGTCTCTATATTTCTCACTGCACTTTCTTTTTTAGAAACTTTCCAGAAAAGCAAATCTTCAGCGTATAAGAGGCACTTAACGCCAGAAATTTCTCCTATTTTATAAATTAAATCATTATTAAAAGGGAGCAGCTACTAACAGCTCCCTGTGGAAGACCTGTTTTTAAGATCTTAGATTTCGATAGAGCGTTGCCGTACCTGACTCTGAAAGAGCGCTATCACAGGAAGCCTCTAATCCAATTAAAAAGATTTGCTCTAATGCCTAGCCCCGACAGTTTCAGTAGGAGGCACTCCCGCCATACTTTGTCGTAGGCAAACTTGAGGTCAATAAAAACTGCGGTCAAGATTTGTCTATTATCCAGGGCGTCCTTGACACATTGACTCAGGAGGGCAACATGTTGGTTTAGATCTGGAGCTTCTGAACCCCGCCTGCTCCTCGGCAAGAAGTCTGCAAGTTTCTAAGTAATAATTAAGTCTTCTCACAATTATTTTCTTCATAGCCTTCCCCATAATACTAGTAAGCGATATTGGTCAATAGTTACGGAGACTATCCCGATCTTTGTCTTTCTTATGTATGGAAATAATGATGAAGTTCGCCATTCAGCTGGTACAATACCAATGTTCCAAATTAGACTGAAAAAGATCCAAACGGTCTCAAATGCTTTAAGACCAAGATGGTGGAGAAACTCAGAATGGATTCTATCTCCACCAGGTGATTTTCTACAAGGAAGGCTTCTTAAAGCATAGGTCAATTCGTCTCGAGTAATGGGTGCCTCAAAAACTGAATCAGTAGAAGATTCAAATTCCAATTGCAGGAGTGTAGTTTTTTGCTTAATTCTTGGACGAATGTATTTTTGCGTAAGTGTTTTTCTTATTAGCTCTACAGAAATGCTGTGCAAAAGCATTCGCTACAGAAGAATCCGAAGAAAGTTGTTTATTTTTAACTATGAAGGTTTGTTTAGGTGAGCTAGCAGTATCATTCATTAGGTTGCCTACAAATTTAATCGTTCTTTTACTATCAGTTTGGTAATTTATTTTCGAAATAAATTCATTAAATGAGGATCGTTTACTGGCAATAAGGGCTTTTCTAAAGTATGCAGTTTGTTTTTTCCAAGCCTGAACATCGCAGGGTCGGGAAGTCAACTCTGCCTTTCTTCTAAGCCTATCTCTCTTAGCTTTCAGGGAGGTCAGTTCATCTGTCCAGAAGTTTTATGGACGTTTTAGCACAAAATATCATTGTATCCTTCATAATTCTATAAACTTTATTAGGATTTAAAATAAAGTTTATCATGATTAAGGCCATGTTCCATCAATTCAGTAAAGAGAGGCCAATTCACTTTCTTAAAATTCCAAGAGACCTTTGATGGCGAAAAGGGTCTCCTGTCCGCTTTGGGTATTTTAACTTCTGCAAGCACCTGTCTGTGTCCTGATCCAGGATCCTTCAAGACGCTACGCTTTGTGAGATTGTAAAGGTCAGCAGTGACCATCAACAGATGTGAGGTTGTACTTTTACCAGTATAATGCAGATAAGTATGGGGATCCTTTTTATCGTACATCAATTCGAATGTAGTCGAGCTCAAGAGTTCCTGGACACTCCTTCCAGCTTCATTTGTGTCAGAATATCCCCACATGGGAGAATGAGCATTAAAATCTCCTAAAAAAATAGAATGTTTTAAATGATTAACATAGGAAAAGTCCGGATGGTTACAAGGAGGGCTGTATATAGCTAGAATTTTAAAATGAGCTCTACATTTCCATACATTCAAGTGTACGACTTCACTCCTTTCCCCATCAAAACCCATCTCTTTTATGATACGGAAATCAGCTGTTAAATCTTTCTTGACACCAATTAGTAAGCACTGGCAACTTTTCTAAATTTTGTAAGAACGTGAAGAGAATATCCTTTAAAAAGGATAGTATTTTAGGTTTTCCATAGGCAAAAAATTAGCTTCCATGACAGTAAAGACATCAATGTCCTTTTCACACAGAACCTGCAAAAGCTTCGCGCGCTTGGATTGGGACAGTCCGCCAGCATTCCACTTTAACACTCGAAGAGTATCAATCCGAGGAGGAGGAGATATAATGCCAGTTGTAGATCTTTTAGCCACTATAAAGTATTACCAGGTGCACCACGAGGAGGTAGATCTACAGCGCACCCCTAATCATGATATCCACCGAATCTAATCATGATAAAGAGTTGAGTGTTGAATATTGCTTTAGTATTTTCCTGATGGACTGTAATAAAAATAAGGTTTGAATTATTTATCATATATTTTTATGTATTTCATTACATATTTATTTACTTTATGCCAAACGTATATATATATAAAACAGAGGTGCACAAGTAGATATTATAACATTCCTCTATATCAAATTTCGAAGTTCTACGGCTAATCGTTTTTGAGTTATTTGAGGTGCATACGTACGTATCAATAGACCTCACGGAAAAAATAATCCCTTCTGAATCCCTTTTAAAACCAAATAAAAATAAAAAAAAAGTATTTTTTTTTACTAACCGTATGTACACACGTCACGCAAAGCACTCGACCAAATGGTTTCAGAAGTGGTCAAGATGGATATTTTCTTTGAAATATTATACCCGAAATTTTTCGGGACTACAGTACTTACTTCGAAGCTTTACTTCGATCAAACAAGTGAAAATAATAAAATAACGTGCAAAGAAAGTGAGTGTTCAAAGTGAAATCGTAACTCTTCATTCAAGCAGCAAAACCAAAAAATTCTTGAAGAAATCAAAATTAGTACAGAAAATTCTTTGGGGTATTCTGCAGGTTAGGCTACTGAATATGACAAGTATATGAGAGTTTGCCTTAGAGAAGGAGCGATTTCGTATTTTCTAAAGGAAACTGACTCGTGTTTACGTTACACGTGGCTATAATATATCTTTCGTTTAGTTTAGCGGGATACATTGTTTATGTACTTTATCGAAGGTCAAAAATATTCCTGTCCTTTGCAGAATTTATCATAAAATACTGTTTATATAGCTGTTTCATTGCTGTTTAAAACTTATACGTAACAAAACGAAAGTAGTCGGCTACTCCATCAGTCGATTATTTTCAATTACTTCGTTTCGAATATGAAGTATTGAAAGAACTTGAAGGATGAGCAACATCTTTAAAGAAGGCTAATTTTTGTGTAGTAAGCTTTTAAAATATATAGAAATAAAAAAACTTGCCTATTGTTGAAAATGTTTCGCGCAAAATATAATTAGCCAAGGCAGCAAAAGAAATAAAGCAGCAATCCAAATTTCATACATTATTGTTGTTTCTTTTAAAAATTCCCATATTTTTAATTCTGTAGCTCTCTCAATTCATGAGATTTTAAATTCAAGTTTTGAAAAATGAAATGTAACTCAACGATATCATTCATAACTGGCGCAACATAGTCATAATGAAATTTAAAGAGAATAATATTTCCATCTGAGCAGGAAAGGTAATAAAATAAAATGCATGTGTTAGATATAACATTTCAATGCAATTCATAATTCAGAGAATAATACACAGCGTATCCTCAGGGACTCGTTAAGGATTGAAAAGATATCTATTGCGTTGCATGTACCTGAATATTATTTTATTCAAACGTTCTCGGCTTTAAATTAAATTTGACTTCATTCCATAAATCTTGAAAAGAAATATTTTAAATAAACAATTACATTTTCTTACTTAAGAAAAGCCCAACTTTATTTGTTTACACACTTAAAGAAATGCAAACATTTTTCTAATCTTTCTTACTGTTACCAAACTACAAAAACAAAACTAAACGTCTAAAATAAAAGGATTACAACGGCTGTTGAATGTCGTTAACAAATATAAATCATGGAGCTCACAACATACTCCCACTTTCTGATTTTCTTAAAATGGTCTATGAAATCAAAACATTAAATGAAAATAAAAATTTTCTACTGAATAGACTTACATAGTACTCAATACACTCACAATATAAATTTAATAATATATAATATATACTTAAAAATTCACTTATAATGAGAAAGTTTGACAGTTTTTCTGCCGCATCTAGTTTTTAGTTCAAAAGCAGTTTCTTAAAGGTCACTGTTCCTTTTAACATTTTCAGATTTATGAGGAATGTTCCATTTATCGGAAACAGTTGGCACGGAATTTCGTTCAAGTTCTTTAGCTCTAAATAAAATGTTCGGATCGGTAATCTCTAAAGGGTATAAACGTTGGACAGGGCGTATGACTTCTCCTACTTCTGTTTTTACTTTCACCACTCTCACATGATTGTCCTTTCCAGGAAAGACTTTTGTGACTATACCCAAAAGGAAGAATATTTGTTTTTTGTTATCATATCTAACCAAAACAACTTCACCGACACTTATCTGTTTCAGACTGTTCTTATTGAAATTCTGCTGAATTAAAAGGCCTAAATATTCTTCCCTAAATCTTCTTAAATCTTTCCGTAGCTTTTGTTGATACCGATATCTTTTGATCAAATTAATACTGTTCAAATTATCTAAGTCTGGTATAACTTGAAGATACATGGAAGGTGTCAACGGCATTAAATCTTGTGCATCTTCGGATAAGTACGTTAAGGGTTAACCAACCACCCCACCAGGCAGCTATAGGAGGGTTGAAAATCCATTGGATCTTCATTGGGGAACTTTCTTGAGATATCTTATCTCAATGAAGAGACTCCAATGAGTTATTAGCTCCTGTAAAGTTTGTCCCATCATCACTGTACACTTTTTTAGGTATGCCTCGTCTCGCTATAAATCTGTAGCCTTGGCTACTAATGTTTAAAATTAATTTATGATTAGGAACAGCATGAATTATAAACAAATAGCTAAGTTATTGCATTTTATTTTCCAGCTATCGAAATGCGACGCTACGAGCAACGTTTTGAAACCAAAACCTAGCAATCATGAATCA